TTTGCTCAAAGAACCTCTTTTCTAAAATTGACCTTCACCACCTTTGTTTCAAGTGAATATTCCCTGAGTTAATAAAATAAACTATATATTGTTACAGTTGTTTTCATTTTGAAGATAAGTTCTCATCTGACTGTGAAGTCCCATTTTTGTGTGTATTTTTCCATCCACAGGGTGACATATGTCAGATTAACTACAGGTTGTTCTTTCCTGGGTTCTTTGCTTAATGGGACATAAAGGTCATTAAACCAGCATAAATTTCTTACAATATTTTTTTCCATCATAAGTATTTGCTATTATGTGTCAATTGAAATCACAGCTTTTTCAGTTAGACTTAAAGGAGTCTTTATGCTGCGTAATTTCAATATTTCGAGTGTTTTGTGTTGAACCAGACACCTTGTACATCTTTAGAAAAGATAGATTTATAAATTTAGACATAAAGCTTCTGTCTACGTAATACAGGAACTCTTAGATCTTGTGGTTGTGGAACGTGAAATATGTACAGTTGATTGGAGTGAAAAAACATGGCTGAATGTAAGCTGCAAGGGCAAAATTACTTGGAATCTCATGATGCATGGATTTTGAGATTGGAAACTGTTGCAGGAGGAAACATATATGGGGACTACAGAAATATTTACGTATGCTGTGGAGACATAGCTACTGTGGTTGATGTCTTATTTCTGGTATTTTTTTCCTCAGCTGCTGCTACAAAAATTTGGAGGACTTGGGTCTTGAATTATCATTTCCTGAGACCAATAGCTCCTTGATTCTAGTGAGGAAAGTGCCACTGTGTTTTATAGAAAGAGAAGCCAATGAATTACGACGGAAAAGACAACCTGTCACTAAAAGCATTGTGGAGGTCAGCTGTGGATATGGGTGAAATTGTGACACTGGGTCTTGTTCTGTGTTAATAGCCCAGGGTATTAGAGTATCTCTGTTATGAGGGAGACAATGAAGCCTCTTGGCAAATGTGGGTGCCATCCCTTTTAGTAGCTAAATAGTCCCAAAACGGAAATCCCTGAACTATAACAGAAATGATAGGAGAACTGTTTCAGACTTGGACTAGTGGGGAAGCTAAGAAAAATAGTATATAGTGCAGATGTTTCAACAGTTTACTGCTCATGTATGCTTGAATGAACAGTAAAATCATTAATATTGCTGATACAGAAATATTATTTGTTAGGATTTAAAGTTGTTTTCATGAAATCTCTACATGAGCAGTGCAGCTTTCTAAAAGCTGCTGTTCCAGATGTTCTGCAATTTGAGGAAGAAATTGCTGAACTGATTACTTGCAGTTTCCATTGTAAACAATTCTCCACAATCATAACTGCTTCAAGGACTCCTTAAAAATTGTTTCTGGAGTACCATATTCAGCCACTAGGCTGAGCCATCGTGAATCAGTCCAGTCTTGCTATACATCTCTTTTGATATGAAAAGAAGAAACAGAGAAGATTATTCATCTGCTTAAATTTTCTTTTCCAACCTTGCTATAATCGGGAAGAACTCAAAATGCACTCTCCTGGTGTGATTTGGGAGCCAAGAGCACTAAAAGTGGCGGAGGAGGGGATCAGGTCTGTGCCTCATGAGCACTCATTCTTAGCTGACGCCTCAAGACCTCATGAGCATTTTGGCACATCTATTCTGCAGTTCTTTTTATTTTAATTAGGACTGGTAGCACCTATTCATGATTCAGAAATCAGAAATGAAATCCACATGGACTATTATCCAAAGAAGAAAGGGCAGCTGTTCAAAGATAACACACATTCATTGCACTCTGAGGTATAAGAGTTCCATTATACCCATTCTACAGATAGGAAACTGATGCACAGAGAAACTAAGTAATTAGTCTAAAGTCTGATAAGATACCTGTGAGAGGTCAGGACTTGCACCTAGATCTTTCACACTGTGGTCAGTACTAGCAACAGCATCATTTTTCCTGGTTCTGGCAGTTACACAGTAAATTATACACGTATGTGGACAAAGCAGGGGATGGGCAATGAAAGGGAGAAATAGCAGCTAACGATACTACCTTTTTCTTTCCAGGAGCTTATGCAAGAACAAGTTGAGGTGAGTTTCTGTCTGCTTCTAAACTTGACTGCAATGTGAAGTTTACTGCATGAACCAAAGGGAGTAAGTGTGTTAAGCCTCAAATGAGAGAGGTGGACTAGATAATGCACTAGCTTTTCCTCATTTTCAGTTTCCTTTGTGTTACAGTTCTTCCTTTTTCTCATATTAAATGGAAAGTAAGATGATGTTCCCTTACTACTTTTAGCTAGTGCAGACCACAGGAGGAGGAGCACGAGGGACACTGCCTCTGACGTTTCTGAAGGTGTTAGCTTCCCAGGCCTGTCATGGTAGGGAAACTGTACTTGTCTTTCATTCGTTCTTTTTTTTTTTTTAAACCTTTCTGTCTACACAACGTCTTCCCTGGGGCAGTGGTTTCAGAATGTGTTTGCAGGAATTGCGGGATTACAGACTGTGTGTTTCATAGGGATGAGGAGATAATGGTCTTTTCATGGACAGCACTGTGAGGGACAAGCAGTACTGCTCTGATTTATTTATGTATGGGCCTAACATACTTTCCAACCCTCACATGAAACACAGATAGAATACAGTTCTGAGATGCACTCATCCGTGTGAGTTCTAAACCATTCAAATAACAGCTCTGTGAAGGAGCAAGGGGAGGTGCTGGAATCTGCTTGAAAGCAAGCAGGAAAGAAGACTTATCGACACTCTTCCCAAAGAACATTTTTTATTTCATGTAAGTATCAAAAGTGCTAGTTTAAGTGTGCCTGTGACCTTTCAAGTATTTTTGGAAGGAGCGCGGTAAGAATTTACATCTTCTAAGAGACTGTGGCTTTCCAGCACCTGGAAATGAGCAGACCTTACAGGTGTAGACTGCAGTAGCTCTAGCCTCTTGTGGCAGTTCCTGTGCCATATACAGTATTAACAAGATTATGCTGAAGGGGTAAACGTGAACCAAAAGCATCTATTTTCACGGAGTGTCACTGCATTCTACAAATGGCAGACAGTATGTAATTTTTTTTCGTCCCATGGCCGAAAGGCAGATTGCAGATGGTCTTGTGCATTTGTGAAGGCTAAAGATTGCAAACACCTCTGAAATGACTCCCTAATTTTCTGCTTGGATTTCCTCTGGATGCTATTAAGTGCTCACTTGTGAGAAAGGACTTAGTGGCAGGGCTAGCATTTGGTCTTGGAATTGATGCCTGTCAGTGGCAGGCACATAGAACTGATAAAGCCTATGGAACAGATACTAGCTGTCGTCTTAATACTTTTTGATTTGTGAACTGGTTGCATCTTCAGCCGTAACACACACACACACAAAAAAAAAGCAAAAAAAAAAAAAGCCCATTTGCCTCTTGCAACGTCATCTGAAAAGCCAAAACCAAATAATCTTACCATCCATCAGACTTGGGTTAGGTGAAAGTTCAGGCCATGGAAAGGTGATCCATATGCAGCAGGTGGGTTAACTGAGCTAAGCCCTAAGTCTGCCATACTGTAGCCTCCCAGCTAATCTTTGGGAGCTGCCTTGTTTTCTGTGAAAACCACAGCTGTGGAAGGAAGTCTGCTGGGTGGTTTGAATTCTCTTTGGCAGCGCGTGCAAGAATTTCTATCTTTTTTTCAGGAGCTATTAAGTTTAATGAGCGTTTGACTTTGGAGGAGAGCTGCAGGCTTATTGAAGCTTTGTCATCTTGCCAGCTGCCCTTCCAGTGTGCTCATGGAAGACCTTCCATGATGCCTCTTGCAGACATAGACCATCTACAGCAGGAAAAGCAGGTACTGTGTGGGACACAGATATGCCTCTGATAAGCCACGCTCTGGATTATCAGAGGCATGTCATGTATGCGTGTGTTAGAACTAGAATGGGCCAGTTTGAAACCATCACCACTGGCTGTATCTTACTTGAATTTTTACATAGCTGTTACCAATAAAATAAAACTTTAGAACATTAAACCTCTGTCCTGCAAACACTTTAGCAAGGATCTTGCCATATTTCATTTGAATGGTCACATTGATTTGAATGGCGTTCACTAGTCCTTAAAGTTAAGCATATATTTAAAGTGTTTGCAGTTTCTAAGTGTAAAACTTGGAAAACATGTAAATTCTGATATTCTAGTAGTGGCAAAGATGCTAATTAAACAAATGCCTACTTCCCCAAAGTTTAAGATGCTATAAAATGGGGAAAAAAAGCAAAGAAATAGCAACATTTAAATAAAAAAAATCATTACTCCTTCCCTTTTTTTATTACTGTGCTATATTAAGTTACGAAATTGGATTCTGTTGAAAGTCAGGTGGGACTTTGAATTTAGGTATTAAAAAAAACTTGGGAATGACTGTATTAGGGCAAAGAGTATGGAGGCATTGAAGCTCATTTACTTAGTTATGATTTAGTGCTTCTTAATTTTTCTCCCTCCAGCCTAAACCTAATTTGGCTAGACTGCGGAAGATGGCGCGAGCATGGCACCTATTTGGAAAAAAAGACCCTAATCAAAAAAAGACAAGACCGTAAGCTGCAACCACTAGAAGTGTTGGTATGATCCAGGTCCCCCTGTTGTTAGACAACAATACCCTGTGTGGAGCCAAGTTTCTGAGCCAGTGCGGTCACCGAAGTTCTGCTCCGAGTACTGATCTAAGAAGCAGAGACCAGCCAGAAGAACATGGCAGGAGGAGCCCACCCTCGTAGCCTGGAGAAGCACCTTCAACACTAAGGAATTACACTGTAGGCCTGGGGCTTATGTCAGTACTTGACTATCAATCAGAGGCAAGAAGTTGCAGCCACTTGCAGTTACTAAAGTGCTTTTTCTCTGCAAGCACAGCATGATTCTGCATAATAGAGAGGAGACTTTTAATTAATGTATTTTATAGTGCTTTGAAAATGGGGAGGTATTTATTAATAAAATTAACACTAAACTCTTTCCTTCGGCTCATGGCAGTGGTTGGAATGAGGACCGACCAGCTTCATAGTATACATAGGCCAACTTCGCATCAAAACATTCTTTTTATTTAACTAGGCAATGAATGACACACCCAGCTGTTTTCTCCAGCTCCCTGTAGTTTGCATTCTTGAGTGAGAGATTTCTAAATCCTACCATAGCCCCACGTTCTCAGGGTACAGAAACTTACCCCCACAGAAATAACTAAATAGCCCACAGCATTTTTTACAATAGGCAGACTTTTTACAGGTTCAAGTTCTATTTTGTGTCTCAGTCTACGGTAGAGGAGTAGAGTTTATTTCAGAATGGCAAAAGAAGGTGGTGTCTTCGTTTAACCACGGACATCCAACTTAAAACCAAATTGGAGAGATACTGACATCTGCTGAATCGAAAGCAAAACAAGGACTGGAAACTACTTTCATTTGATGCCTTAACTGTGGTGTAGTGTATTGCCATACATTGATAAAAGGGACTAAGGAAAAGTGATCTCGCTGGCCTGCAAGAGCCTGAGATTTCTAAGACATTCCATGCTGCCCCTCACAAAAATCAAGAACTTTCCGAATGAGACAAGATGTCCACCCAAGAATAATAATCGCAATCACTCAATTAGTACAGGAGAGGACAGACCCCCAGACTACAATAAGCAAAGCAAGAGCTTGAGCTCTGCCTTCTGACATGGAGGTGAAGAAGCTAGCTGACGGGACTTCTGAAGGTCTGCCTTTCATCAAGAATGGAATCTCCATTCCAGCACTGTACAAAAAGCTGGTTTGTATTTCAGCAACTCACCAAAAATTGTCAGAAAATTCTACCAAAAAAATCCATTCTGAAGACAATGGCCAATGGATTCCTATCACATTCATATCTGAAAGCACACCTTAAAGCCTGCTACTGCATCATAGGTGCAGGCAACTCACTACACTGGTAAAACTCCTGCTAGTTACAGAAACAAAATAACCGTATATTGAAAATATGCTTAACAGTGAGATCACTGTAAACAGCCTTTATTGCAACATACTTTGAAGTAACAGCTTAGCTGCCCCAGAGAGTTACACGTATGCCTTACTGTTTCAGAATCAAAGCCGGTTAGCAGCTCCACGTGGCTTCTAACACAGCACAGAGATCAATACCTGTACAAGAGCTCTGCCTTCTGTTGCTTTTGGGTAGGAAAGACATTGCTGAGCAAATTCCCCACAGCAACCTGTCTCTGCAACGTACACTTTAATTAGCTGTTGTATCTTTCTAAAGAGAAAGATAGGCAGAGTCTGGAGAGTGATGTGCTTCATGGCATTAGAGTTCATAGTCATCTGGATGGTAGAGCTCACTCATGAGGCGGTAGATGTAGGAAGGCGCGTTACCCCCAATGTTAGAAATGAAGAGAGTAATGAGCTCTGGAGGGACATAGTCAAACACTGGGCAGTGAACATTGATCTTTCCCAGGATCTCCCCTGTAAAGTGAATAGCAGCAATATTAGACAAAGCAACTCAAAGTACATTTAGCCTTCTGCACATCTTCCTGAGCCCCCAAAGAAACTGGCTATGCACATGCCACCCTGAAGTCAGTACTGGACATCCTGAATACTTTCCAACTTCCTCACTGATGTCATTGAATTACAGGTATAGAGCAATCTTGGATGAACAGCAACTGTACCAACTCTTTTGGTAGTTTTTACTGATAAAAGCCCCAGATCCCCTCTGATACAGATTTATTAATGGCCAGAAACCCTGCCAGTATGTAATCAAAATACAAGAATCCTGATGCTGCCAAAGTTATTATTTAAAGAAAAGCTCAAAAGGCCAAAACCAAAAACCTGTGCCAAACCTGATATCTTCATTTCAAGTGTCTTTGTCGCATAGAAATGGGGCTTTGAAAGAGACTTTGCTATCTGAAAATGGGCTTGGGAGCTGACGCCTTTCTAAAGATCATGCTTGTGTGGGAAGTCCGTTGCAGAGATACTGGGTTTCAACAAGTGGATCACATAACGAAGATTCAAAAAATTAACATGAGTTGTAGGAAGGAAAGGAAGTTGCCCTCGGTGTTGGGCATCTGTTCTGTCCCACAGGAAACTGCCACCTGCCTGGCACCGTTATCACAATCCTATAATAAAACACTATTTCAGAACAGAAGCAAAAATGCAAAGACAGTGTTCAAAGGAAATCCTTTTTCTGTATTTTCTGTAATAGAAAGCTACATATAAAATAGTAAATAGTTCCCAACACTTATTTCTGCTTAAGACAATAGGAAAGGATTTTCTGTCTTGGGTTACAGGACAGTCTTATGTTTAAATTTTATGTGAGCTATTAAAAGAAAATTTAAAATTATAGCCTGAACCAGCTTGACCAGCCCGTATAAAGAAGAACCAGTACCTTCTGTGAATGGCAGCACTTCCTGTGGTGACACGAACTTGTGGAATGAATCTTCTTCGTTAGGGAACTGAATAAGAAAGAGTACAGGAAGGTCAGAAAAAAAAGAGACTGCCTCATTATCCTAGTGAAAACAGATCCTGGGTGCTGCAAGGAACTAAAGCAGAGGAAGACAACTTGCCAGGTAATACTACATCTGTTTACAATAACTACACAGTGCCCGTGCCTAGAATCTCTAACATCTACAGGTGAAAGGTTTTTCCTCAGAGCTTTTAGAGCTGGCTGCCCTGCAAAGCCTAGGGAACTGGAGCAGAGAAGTGACTTCCTCAGTCTGCAACTTCATCTCACAATACTGAGTAAGTACTGAGTGTAAGAGATAGTTTAGAGCATCTCTGTCTACCTCCTCTATCAGTACACAGGGTCTTTCAACACTAAAGATACAAATTGAAATCTGTTGATGAAGAAAAATAAGTATGGTGATGTCAGTCTCCATAGGATAGGCATACATAAGGATGTAGGCAGTGGTCTACATCCTTATACCCAACGCATCGCTTACTCAGCATATGTGGCAGAGGAGGGTGCTTCACGGAGATCCTGAGGTGTGCCAGATTTGGGTGAGGATCTCCTATCTGAAGTAACAGCGCTAGATGGGGGAGATGGCTGATTTACCAGCCTCACCTTGGGACAGATGGTGCTGTCCACCCTGATCTTCCACAAGCATAAAAACACCCCCATCTCTGTGGAGAGCAGGTGCAGTTCCGAAGACCTGCTGTACTTACCTGCGGTGAAAGCTTGAACATGGGGGCACACACAATGAGCGGAGTGGAATGGTGTTTAGCTGCTAGTGCCAGAGTGTGAGTCCCACTCACAGCAATCAGGGCGCCGTTGGCCAGGATTGTCTTTGTACCAATGATGACCTTAAAAGGCAAATCAGCATTAGATAGCATGTTCCACAGCAAACTGGGGAAGGGACGCTTCCCGGCTCAGACCCTGCCGGATGAGCTGGAGGAGGAGTTTGTCAGAACAGCCAGCCAGCCAAAGGCTGGAGTTACAGGGCAGCTGGATGCCTGATCTGTTTCATCTGGCACTAGCTCTGCACCGAGACGTTCCTCTAACGAGAGCATGACTCCAGCATGGTGAGGCCAGCACAGAGAACTTCAGAGGACAAATGTATGGTCTACTGCAGGGAACACCGAGCAGAAACTGGGCTGTGTTCCCTGTTGTTCTACAAGCCTGCAAAGTAAGCTTTATGCAAGTAACTTGACTGCTGGCTGCAACAATTCCCTTGCTGTAAAATGGGAATAATGTAAAGCAGCTTAAAATATATAGATAAGAAGCGGTGCGGCTGGATTTTACTACGTTACAAGTACTTTTTTTTTTTTTTTTTTTAGTTTGGGCTGCCAAGTCTTCCTCTCTATAGAACTACAGAACAGGTCTGTTTGAAAAGACACACCTTGGTGATTCCCTTCACCACCCATCTTGTGTTCCAGGCAAGGGGAGTTTCTCCCCTTTGGAAATGCTGCTTTTTGTTCCATCTTCTCTAAAAACTGAGGTTAATCCTTTGAGGCTCTCCTGGCTTGGTTTCTTGTAACTGTTCTGCCTGTTAGCCACTAAAGCAGAAAAACCTATCACCATACAGTTAGTCATCATACTGACTTGGGGTTCCACACTGAATCTCCGCTCCAGCTGTAAAGAGGAACTATTACAATTTTGAGTCTTCAGTGAAGAAACGCATCCAACACTGCTGGGACCTGCAGCTGGTTTGGGAGGCCTAAGCACCCAACCTGCCGTGAAATCCCTCCTCCAGCAGAGCCTTCCTTACCTTGTTGACTCGAGACATGACAGCAAAAATAGCTGCATCACTCATGACAGTAGTTTCAATGTTCTCTTTAGATAGTCGGACAGCCATTTCATGACCCTAAAAAGAGGGAGAATCCAATTGGTCCCCTGGGACATAGCTCCTGCAGTGCAGCTGTAGAGCTATTAGCACTCAATTCTTGTCTGAACTGCAAAAATACCAAGCGATGGAGCACAAATACAGCCCTCCGACTGAAGGACACAAGGTAGGATTAACAAGCTGTCTTCAACCTCAACTGCAGAGGAACTTCCGTAACGTTCAGCTTGCCTCCAGAGACAAGAGTTCAGTAAGAACGTGCGGAACAACGTGGCACCTGGAGAAGACAGCCAGCCTGGGCCTCACCTGGCAGAACGGCGCACACTCCGCCACGATGACCTGGAACTTCCGCTTGCGGGCAGCTTCCTTCAGGAAGGCCTCAACGGTGCGTGAGTAGCCAATGGTCATGATCACCTCGTTGGAGTGGATGTGCTCCAGCGCCTGCATAGCAATGTTATCAGTGGTGCCCTCTGTAACAGAAGGAAGCCGTGGGTGGAAAAGCAGCCAGGAAAAGCAACACTTGTGCTGCTAGGGCTGTCCTCCAACAAGATCATTTTTTACTGAAGTGATGCTATGAGCACTGGTAGAGCAGGAGCCGCTTTTCTCCCTGTTCTTTTTACCAGTGGAGAGGGACCTAGAATGCCCCGTGCTCCCTAGCTACTCATAAAAATAGCTGTATTGAAAACTCCATCATGAGGGGAGTGGATTGTGTCAGCACTACTCCAGGTAACCACCATACCCACACAACAACTAATGACAGAAATTCAACGGTTCAATAGCGCTAGAACCACATGGAAAGGAGAGGCAGGGCAGCCTGGGCCTCAGAAGGAGAGTCGGGTGCCTCATATGTCACAAGATTGCAGAAAAAGAAAAATGTATTGCAGCGCTTTGTGCACGAGGGTCAGGTTACAAGTGCATAGGGATTAAGTCCAACCTTGGCATATTTTTCATACTCTTCTTCAGAGGACTGAACTCAAGGCTTCCCAGAAGACCAAGAGCACAGGCCAATAGCCCCCCATACTGTCCCCTCCACAATGCTCCACCCATCTCCCTGTAAGCCAAAAAGGACTTAAACTAAGTCCTGGGCACAGCAGGACTTCAGTCCCTTAGTTCCTTCAGATTAAGCCTCCCAGATCCTTGCTGTTTTCTTTCCACCTAAGAGGAGGGGGAAGCATCAGTCCCATCCCATAAGAAGCTCCACTCATGGGGCAGTTCAGACCCATCCGTACCTAGCTCTATTAGCAGCTCGTTAATAGCTTCAATAACGTTAGCTCTGAGGGTAGGATAAAGTGTGCTGAAATCCTCGCTCAGTCCTCCGGAAGTCAGGAGTTTGTGCAGGGATTCTTGCTGGTCGCTCTCCTCGCTGCACCCGTGAAGCCTGCGGAGAGAAGCGGCCCTTCAGCCTCGGGAGAGAGCACAGGGGCACGGCCAGGCTGAGCACCGTCCCACAGCGCAGCACACCTGGATGGGGACAGAGAGGAAGGAAAACTGCGCACAGGAGGCAGGCTGCGCTGAAGAGTTTCCCTAGTTGTCTCTGGCAGAAAGACACCCAAAGCTCTGCCAGGAAACGCTTTCCTAAGTCGTGTGCAAACGCTGCAGCCCGCAGATGAGGAGCAGGCTCGAGGCATCCCAGTGGGATGGACCCTCCCAGGAATGCAAGGAGAGAACAGCTGGAGGTCAGGGCACAGACTGTTCTCACACACCCACCACACATATGCCAAGCGGAGTTTCGCTAGAGGAAATGTCATCAGCTACGCTGACAACGACAGGTTTCCTTTGATGTTAAACTCGCCGAATCCCTCTGTAGGAGAGGTGGGAAAAGGGGGGTGATGGAAACTAAAGGGGTTTCATAGACGCAGCAGAACACACCGCGTGGGAGGGCCGTTCTGGGCTCCTAGGAGGGGTACAGGCAGGAAGAGAGGGGCGCTTCACCTGCCATACTCTTCCCGAATGACCTTCAGCACTCGCCGCACCATGTTGCCCACGGTCGTCTCAGACGGCTGGGCTGCCGTCATCCTCTGGCCCTCTGTCCGGATCAGATCCATCAGCTCCCCTGAAAGAGGGGAGGGCCTCGGTTATCGCTGCCCAGGGGGAACCCACGCAAGCATCAGACCAAGGCATCCGCCCCACAGCAGCCCA